ACGCACCGCTTCTCCGGCCATGCTGAGGCCGTGTCCCACATACAGCAACTAGAAGGATGTGCAGCTATGACATACAACTATCTGCTGGGGCTTTGGGGGAAAAAATAAATAAATAAATAAAATTATAAAAAAAAAAATACCACGGTAGCTTCTTTTATTAAGGATTCTTTTGTAAGGCACAAAGGAACCAATGTGTCCATGCATAGAATATGGAATTCTAGTCATTTTCCCCTCAGGTGTTCAATTTTGGGTTTGTAGGGGTTGGAGCACTGTTTGCTGTTAAACTTTACTAATGACAGAAAAGACTTCCGTTAGTCTTATTTAATACAGGGTGAATCATTCATTTTTTTCCTTGCTTTGTTCCTGGTGCTTAGGACAGGCTCAGCACAGGGTAGGCACTTCACAAAGGTTTTTTGAATGAGTAAGTGATTTCTCACTTTGTATTTAAGAACTGAGGAGAATAATAGCACTTGGCAGTGAGTCTTTTAGCTCTCAGATCTTAGCCTGTGACATGTGTTGAGTTTGTTTTGAGGGGATTTGGGGGTGCCCCATGACAATCAAAGCAGAATTCTTGATGCCGATGTTTGGCTTTCTGCTTTGATCAATAGGCTTATTATTTGCCCTTAAAACCTCTGTGGTGCTGGAGAATCACAGACATTCCTCAGGATGATTTACACAGCAATAAATAATCTGTGCTGTCTGTTGCTTGCTTCATCAGTGTCTGCCCTGTTCATAAAACCCCAGAGGCTCAGTGGCCCCAAGGCTGGAGCACAATGGACATGTTAACTTAACTCCCGTTACAGATGTATGCACATGGAACGTGTCGCTCAGTTGCACTGTTGCTTTGTTGTTCTAATATGTACCCACAATTTATCTTTAAAAATTGACATAACTGTAGAAGTTGTTTTCCATCTGACTTTATTATAGTTACCATACCATTTGTTTTTTACCTCTGTTCTGTGCTAGATGCTACATATATTATCTAATCTTCACAGCCACCTCTCAGTTAGGTGATTATACCCTTTTTATAGAAGTGGAAACTGAAACTCAAAGAGGTAAAGCTTATTCTCTGAAATCCCATAGCCCATGAGTGATGGAGCTTCGGTTTCAACTCAAGTCCTTCTGGTTACAAAACTCTTAGCTACTATACCATGACATTTTTCTCATCTAAATCGCTTTCTTCTGCTTCTGTCAGTTTTTTGTGTTTGTTAGGTTAGTAACCTCTTGCCAAGATCCCGTAGTTTCCCTTACTATTCAGAGATGAATTTTAAATTTCTTAAAACAGCATTGCAAATACATGAAATTTATAGTGACAAACATAGCTAGATTACTTTCTTGTTATCCATTCATTTAACATATTTACAGTTCCCATTAATTTTAATCTGTCCTTATTACCTGTTTTATATAATAAATATCTCTTAGTCATGACAGACTGAATATAGATCACCTGAAATAGGCTCTCTCTCAATGAGCTGAGTTGCAGCTAAAGATTTGTGAATTAATTGGGAAAATTGCAAATCAGGTAGTCAGTGAAATAATTCATTGTCACATCCAATCAATAAACTTTGTAAATCAACTCATTTAATTCAAAAAATGATCTATATAGATCAAGCAACCAATTAAACAATTAGCATACACTTTGCAATTAATTAATTTAAGCATCAATCATATAATTAAAATTCCAAATTTAAGCTGCAGAATTTAGAATCCTACTGCTTTGTGAACTGTTAGGTTCATGCTTCTGAATGCTAACAAATTTGCAGTTTCACAATTCAACTTTGGAGCAGGGTATCTTAAAGTATTTAAGTTGACTTCAGTTTTAAATTGTTTTTATGTTGGTATAGTTTCCCACCCTTTTCAACAAATTGACTTTTAACTTCCCCCAAAGAAAGAGAAGGAGGTGTGTATTGATTCTAAACTGGGCAAGGGTAGAATCTGGGATTACTGATTGGACATTCTAGGGAAGTGAGAAAAGTCCAGAAGTCCTTGAGAGGGCCAGATATCTGTGTCAGGATGAATCAGGGCATTTGTTTTTACTCTATTAAGTATCCTTGGTGTTGGGAATCAGATCCTGCCAAGTGAGTCTGCTTTTCTTCAAAGAAAGGAGAACCGTATAGACTGTCTTAGTTACATTGAGTACTTCTCTTGAGCTAGAGCACAGATATTTTCTTAATCCTGACCATAAGTCAGAGGCCTCTGATTCCCCCCAAATAATTTTTTCCTCCTTTATAGTTTTGTTTATATCTCTTTTGTGATATTTATTTTATTTACATTTATATTATAGCTAATGTAGTGCTTACTTTTCCCCCCAGCTATACTGTAAGCTTCCTTGAGGGCTGATACTAAATCTCATCTTTGATCTAAGGGGGGAAGTTCTGTGTCTTCCTACAACAGGTGCTCAATGAGTATTTGTTGGAAGCATAGAGTAGTATAGAGGCTCTCCTTTCACATTGTTTTTCTGCCCATTTGCACTGCCCTGTGTTTTCTTTTTATCAAATGCAGTACGCTTGGGGGATCTGTCTCAACAGGCTTTGAGGTAAGGAACAGCAATCCAGTTTGTCTTCTGTACACCGTAGCCTCTGGTCTCCTTGTCCCTCCCTCACGTTGGTATTCACTCACCTTTTTGGTTTTTCTTTCAGTGACAATGTCAGTGCCTACTGCCTGCATATCGCTGAGGATGATGGAGAGGTTGACACAGATTTCCCCCCACTGGATTCCAACGAGCCCATTCATAAGTTTGGCTTCAGTACCTTGGCCCTGGTTGAAAAGTATTCATCTCCTGGTCTGACATCCAAAGAGTCGCTCTTTGTTCGAATGTGAGTGTTGACACTGTTACTTATCTTAGTATCTCATCTCTACCTTCTAGTATTTTGGATTTAATTTTGGTTTTGTTCATCAAGTGAATGATATTTGGTATGTGAAGAGTCCACATGTAATGCTTACTTCCAGAGAGATATTAGGGACAACATCTGCATTGTATTTCATGCCTTTGTACCTAGATTAAATGCAGACTGCTTTGCAGTAGCAAACTGTGTTAGGTATGCCTCTGAATGTCATTTCTATGAACCAGGCCTCTGGAAATACTGGGACACTTTGGAGCCTGTGAAGCAAATATTCTGGGTTTTCCACTTTCTCTTCAAGGACTCCAAACTAAATGAAAATGTACATCACAGCCACTTCTTTCCCGTGACTTAAAATGCTTGTTTTTCTTTCCAACTTTGTTCAGATCAAATTTGATTTTTCCTCTTGGTTGCCTTCCTTTAGGCTGAGCAGAAGTTCTTAAGCTTTCCTGTGCCTTTGGCAGTCTAGTAAAGCCGTTTTCAGAAAAGTGTTTGTAAATGCAGAAAATAAAATTCACAGGAGTACAAAAGAATTCTGTTATATTTAAATAGTTATCAAGTTATTAAACAAATCTGTGCTATAGTAGTATGTATGGCTTTATTGATACATTAAATAACAGGATCCAGGGCCGGCCCCGTGGCTTAGCGGTTAAGTGTGTGCGCTCGCTGCTGACGACCCGGGTTCAGAACCCCGGGCACGCACCGACGCACCACTTCTCTGGCCATGCTGAGGCCGCGTCCCACATACAGCAACTAGAAAGATGTGCAGCTATGACATACAACTATCTACTGGGGCTTTGAGGGAAAAAAATAAATAAATAAAAAATAAATAAATAAAATTAAAATAACAGGATCCAGCAGCAGGTATAACAGTAACTCCTGAAGTCTCTTGTTTCAAAGTAGCTATGAGTATAAATGGTATTTGAGCAGATTGCAACAACTGTAATGTGCTGTGACAATAGCTGTGATTTCTGTTCATGACAGAGTCCCCAGGACTGCTAATACTACTGTGATTTGTTGACTACATTTATAATTCAAGGAAATGCTAAATATCAGTTAGAAATTAGTGAAAATAAAAATGTAATTTTTGTCCATTCAAGTCTACAGAGCACCTGAGTTACCCACAGGTCCTGGTTGTTCGGGGAGAACCTGTGGCGCTTTCTAAGTGCAGTTTAAGCTTTTCTAACAAGGTCGCGACAGTCCTTCTGGCCATCTCCTGGCAACAATAGCGATCCCTTTGGCACCCCCTGCTGTTGGTAACCAGCAAATTCACTATCCAAAAGAGGGATTGCTCTATAGGACTTCTCCCCTGTCTCTTTAATACATATTGCCTTTGTTTCAGATTTTTATTAAATGTAGGGTTATGCTACCTATGATATATGAGTATTTGGGATTTTTCTACCCTTAAGCAAAGAAAGAATACCTGAGTCCCTGTGGGTGAGCCGAGGGGTGGCTCCTCAAGCTTTTTAATTGCCATTTCATCCCTACTATGATGTGTTTGGGGTATATAAGAGCAAATATTGCCCCTCTTTTTACATTTCAGAGCCACTAAAACAACAACTTTAAAAAATATTTAAAGTAATTTAAAAGTTATACAGTGATTCCTCCATCCTAGTATAACTTTTCATTTTTGTATAATCATTTCCATGTGTATATATATATTACACAGTTTCAATTCCAGCATACATATTTTGTTATTTTTATTTTATTTTATTTATTTTTTTAATTTACTTATTTTTTGTGAGGAAGATCAGCCCTGAGCTAACATCCATGCCAATCCTCCTCTTTTTGCTGAGGAAGACCTGCTCTGAGCTAACATTTATTGCCAGTCCTCCTCCTTTTTTTCCCCAAAGCCCCAGTAGATAGTTGTATGTCATAGCTGCACATCCTTCTAGTTGCTCAGCATGGCCTGAGAAGTGGTGCGTCGGTGTGCGCCCGGGATCCGAACCCGGGCCGCCAGCAGCGGAGCGCACGCACTTAACCGCTAGGCCACGGGGCCGGCCCCTGTGTTATTTTTATTTAACATTATATTACAAATATTTTGATATCTGTTGTTAATTCCTACAATCTGCATTTATTACGTGCCGAGAATCTAGACAGAGACGACCACTGTGCTTGTGGAGCTTACTATCTGGTGGGGAGACGGTTGTCAAACAGATCATTAAAATGTGGTGAGCAATACCACAGAAAAATATATGGGGTGCATCGGATGCCTATCACAGGATGTTTAGATTGTTTCCTTGTTTTGGTTTTAATAAGGGATTCTACAACAGTAGTCCTTGTCTATATCCCTTTTACTTAGGATTATTGGTTAAAGTAGAAACATCTTTAGACTCTCACTTTGTGTTGATATATAGCCTTCTGAAAGATGTACCAATTTACAGAGCTACCAGTAGAATTCGTAAAACCGTCTTCGCAGTCTTACCATTACAAGGTGTCATTAGAAGTTTTTTCTTTTTACTTTAAGAGATGTATACAGTGGTATTTCAGTAGTTTCCACTTGCATTTTTATTGTTTATTAATACGTGACTAGAAAAACTGTTCTCGTTAGCACATGATTTTTACTACATAATTATTAACGTATGATCATGGCAGTCTTTTGAGCTGAGAGTCCTTTTTAAAACGAGAGCTTTCTAATCAATGATTTTCAGTAGAGTGGAATTGGGGGTGGGATGGACATACCTCCCCAGGAGAAGCATCTAAGACAACACAGTTTCTGTCTATGAACGCCACCTTCTGGAGAATGGGAGGAGGGGAGAGGAGAAATCAAAGAGTAACAACAACTGCTTTAAACTTAATACTGTTATTTTTTTTTTCCGGAATTACTCCCATCCCTGCACTCCCACTCCCAACCACACATACCCCAGTCAATTCTTTTTCTATTTTAAAGTTCAAGAGTTTATTCGACATGTCTGGAGTGTTTCTGAAAACACAAGGTAAAGTAAAATCTTTATATGTGAGTATTTAGAACAAAAGTGTCGATAAGTTTTCTGTTTCTTCTTTTTCTCAGTTGTCTGATGAAATAGTACAGATTAATGACTATTTGCCCTATGTATATTTTCTTGGTTCAGCAACCTCGCATTCACCTTTCTGGACTATATACTAAGTTAGTAAAGTGTCTCCCGCAAATGTAGGACAGAGCAGACTTTCAGGAGTCTCCAGGGATGTGTCCAAAGATTCAGTGAGTGAAATCCCAGCAAAATAAGTAAATCCATAGCTCCTTCTTTTCATTTCCCCCATTTCCTCCTTGCATCTCTCTCCCAGTTGAGAATGGACAGGAAGTGGCTGGGAAGACACTGAACTGAACCAGGAAGAGGGAGCTAGGTTTGACAATAGGAAGTGAATTAGCATTTACTAAGGGCCAACTGTGTATATGTTATTTCATTTAATGTCAAAAATAGCCCAGTTTTTATTATGACCATTTTAGAGACGTGAAAACTGAGGCTGAGCAGTATTGCTCTCAGGCTTGCATTTGACCCCGTGCTGACTTCAAAGTCCCTGCTCTTTCCAACACCCTGCTGAAGGTTGGGAGGGGGTAGGGGAATCTAGGCTTGGTGTAGTCATTCAAGTGGATCCCACTATCTTAAGGCCAACATTCAGCCTCTGTTATAGTGTAATAGGTAAGAGCGTGGTGTCCTCTGGAACCAGACTGCGTGGGTGCCGATCCTGACCTTACCCTTACTAGTGTGTGTGATCTTGGATGAATGACTTAATTCTTCTATGGCTCGGTTAAATGAGGCTAATAATAATACCTACCTCATAGAGCAGTTGTGAGGATTGAATGAGTTAATATATATAAAGCACTTAGGACAGTGCCTGGCCTATGTAAACATTGTCTAAGTGTTTGCTGCAGTTATTGTTATTAATAAAAATCCTCTGAGGGCAAGAATTGGATCATTTGTGCCCCACAACAGCCACCATAGCTCCATTACTATAGTAGGTATGCCACAAATATTTCTTGAATGGGTAACTGAATAGATCTCTTTGCTGCTTTTCCATTTTTCTTCTTCCCCTACTTTCTGTTTTCTAGCATGGGAGGGACAGAGTTTGGGTGGACATTGCTCAGCTGGACTGAAAAGGCTGAATTGGAATAACTTTTGCTGAATATGGGCAGGAGTGGATGTTGGAGATCTGCAGACTTCCAAATTAGTCCTCTTATGGGACATCCTTTAAGATAGTAGCAAGACCATGAAGTCCTTGAAGATAGGGAGGGCACAGTCTTTTTTATCTCTATCCTTAGCACCCAGCACAGGGCGTCATAGAGAAGGAATGAATAAATCTTCAGTTGTCTGTGGGCTGCTGAGAGGGCCCTTGGCCGAGCTTTCTGGGTCATCTTGCTTTTTGAGCCCACTTAACCTCTTCTACAGCCCTGTTTCCTGCCTTTTGAATACCACAGAGCCCCAGGTTGCCTTCTGGCTTCCAGAGGTCCTCATACCGCCCAACTAGGAGGCTCCAGCAGACCATCTGGCTACTGTAAATGAGACAGCACAAGCTTTGAACTTAGGCTAACCTGGGTTCAAGTTTTAGCTTCACTAGTGACTTGCTTCATCACTGTGGTCTTAGTTTCTTTATCTATGGATGAAGAAATGAGGATAATAGTAACTACCTCATGGAATTGTTGTGAGGAATTTTCTTAAATGTAAGTAATGTACAGACCTTTCAAAGGAAAATTAATTCTCCTGAAGCCTCAGTGTTTGCTCAAATTAGTTTTATTATAACGTTACTTAAATACATACAAATGTAAAGTTCTAGCTATAAATTCCATGTTTTTATGCAACCCAAACAAAATTACAAATTAAATGCAAACAAAACTATAACGTTAATAAAATACAAATTAACAACTTGAATGCAACAGATGATGTTTTGCTAAAATGAAATCACTGATGTGGGGTTTAATGGATGTTAAATGTTTTACTTGTCAACTTGAGTCTTTTGATTTTCATATGAAACATGAGATTATCATATTATCTGTCCTT